CATTTGTGTACAAGTCTTTGTGTGGATATATGCTTGATGCAAGTGCTCTTAAATAATAAAACTATCATATGTGATTCCTTAACTTACAAAGGTAAAAAGCAGAGGCATAGTTAAAATACCTCCCATAGTTGTTTGAACAATATCCAAGTTTCTTTGATAATTTATGAGGTTATTATATGTGTAACAGCATAATCTAAGCTTTTTTTAGTTTCCCCTTTTTTCCCCTCTGCCATCCATAAACATGGTTTCTCATATTTATTATAAGGCCCATCTGTATCTAAGAAGCTGCCCCCTACTACTGAGCCCTCTGTGCTTTATTTTGTCCCTCAATCACCTTACATGAATCTGGCTCCATTTGCTGAAGAATCTTTATTTGTTTGATCTATAACCTTGATACCCAGGACTAACTTCTGTGCCCTCATATCTCTGGACACCAATATGTAACCAGCTGCCTGCTTATGTCACCAGTGCCTGATATCTTTGACACCAACCAACCTTTATTTGTCCCCTCCCTGTACCTGTTTATTCTGCTAGTCAGGCTTTTGCTGTCTGATAACTGCTCCCTAAGTGCACCTTGCTCTTTATTCCAAACTCTGCATCTGGCTCATATGTCTTGAGTCTTCTCTCTGTGACATTTGAGCCAATCCAGAACCCAGTGTGGCTTGATCTGCTCACTTAGTCGTGGCGACCTGACTACTCCTGGCTCTTGACGGACTACAGCCTCTGCTTTGCAACAGATTTTGTTTGCAAGGATTGTACATAAGTCCTCATGATCCCACGAGTAAATGACACCAGACCTACTACTGCTGATGTCATATACTGGTGACAGGCAAAGTTGACACACTGTAGTTCTGTTGTTTGGTTTGTTCATATTTAGGCAAGATCTTAAGTTAAATTGTAAGTACAAGAATATCTATTTGCTATGTATTTGCAATCAGTAGTGGTTCTCTGATCTACGCTCTTCTCCTTATATGCTTCAGCCAAACTGACCTCTCTGTACAGCACACATTTCACATTTTCACCTTAGCGTTAGATTTTCACCTTAGCATTAGGACCTTTGCATTTGTCATCCCCTCTTTTTAGAATACGCTTCCACAGGTCTTTAAACAAGCTGACTTCTACGATCATTCACATCTCAAGTGAAATGCGATTACTTTAGAAAGTCCTCCATGTTACACCCACCCCACCAGTAAATTACTATCTTACTTCTTTATATTTTCTTTGTAGAGTTTATCATTTACTAAGTTTCTGTCACTCATTTTTTACTTATTAATTGACCTCTACACACACCCACATGTGAATAAATCACATGAGATAAGGGAGCAAGTAGCTTGAATGACAGAACAAAACAATGCCTATATTGAGCAAAGGAAATACTTTATAAATATTTGTTGTGTATATGAATGCTTAGATTACCTCTGTCTGCCTGTTGAAATCCTGTTTATCTTTGGAGTCCAACTTGAATACTGTCTCTTTCAAGAATCTCCCCAACCAGATTTGTTTTTTTTCTCTCTCTCATAGAGTTTTTTATTCTTCACTTACTTGCTCTTTTCTTTTTTTTGTGTTGTAGCTGTCATGCCCTCATTCTTAGTCTAAAATAATTATAGTAGAATACAAGGACCGTATTTGACTTATTTTAATATACATTTCAGACTTAAGAGCATAATCAATGCTGGCAAGATATTTGTTGAAATCTGGAAAGTTTACCATATTATAAGGCTGTTAACTATTTTATTCTTTTTTTATTACAAAATGTTTAAAGTATATAGAAAAGATTCAACAATATTATAACCAATACCTATGTGCCCATCAACAGCTTAAAAAAAGCAAGATTCATATTAAGTTAGTAATATTAATGTGAAAACTATGTAAAGACACTAATATTAAATTCCTCGTGTGAGTGTTCCTCATCCCCACCCCCCGTTTTCTTTGCTGAAGCAATCACGATCCTGAATTTAGTGTTTATCATTGCTGTACGTGTGTGTGTCTGTTCATTTTGCCATTACTGTTTATCTCTGTGTGTGTTTTCATGTGTGAGTATCCGTTTACAACACGTGATATTATTCTCCTTGTTTTGAAGTAGTATATGGTGTGGATCATTTACACCTCCCTTGTTTTCTCAACATTATGTTTCTCAGATTGTTCATGTTGATATATGCAGTGTTAGAATCTAGTGGTGAGATCATTTGATTGCTGTGTAATATTCCTTTATGTAGTCATCTCTCAGTATCCATGGGGGATTAGTTCCAGGATACCTGTGGATATGAAAATTGGTGGATGCTCAAGTACCTTATATAAAGTGGCATCGTATTTGCATATAAACTGTATTTTTAGGAGAATAATGACAATAAAATAAAGTCTGTACACATTCAGTACAGATGAAATCTTTTTTCCCCCAACATATTTTTGATCCATGTTTGGTTGAATGCATAGTTATGGAACCCATGGATACAGAGGGCTGACTGTTCTTACAATACTCATCACATTGTAAGTGCTATGTGAATGGTTGTTATACTGTATTGTTTTTTTATCTGTATAATTTTTTGTTATTTCTTATTTTTGTCCTCTACATATTTTGATCCACTGTTGGTTACCCACGGATGTGGAGGGCCTACTGTATAACCGCTTCACAGTTTCTTGTCTGTTATCTGGCTGAAAGCCATTCACTTTCCCTTTTCACTCTTACAAACAATACTACAGTGAACATTTCTGTACAATTTTCCCAGGGCATCCTAGGGAGTTACTCTAGTATTTATAATGAGAAGTGGAACTTCCAGGTCAGAGACTATGCACATTATGGCATTGTAATTACTGTGAAGTTGTTTGGATTCCTTGTATATTCTGGACATTAATCTCTTGTTAAAAAATGGGCAAAGGAGCTGAATAGACATTTTTCAGTGAAAGACATACAAATGGCCAACAGGTACATGAAAAAATGCTCAACATCAGTAATCATCAGAGAAATGCAAATCAAAACCACATTGAGATATCATCTCAGCCCAGTTAGACTAGTTATTATCAAAAAGACAAGAATAATAAATGCTGGTGAGGATGTGGAGAAAAGGAAACTCCTCTACAATGTTGGTGGGATTGTAAATTAGTAAAAACCATTATGGAAAATAGTATGGAGGTTTTTCAGACAACTACAGATAGAATTTCCATACAATCCAGTAATCCTGCTGCTGGATATATACCCAAATGAATGGAAATCATGATGTTGAAAGAATACCTGCATTCCCATGTTCATTGCAGCTGTATTTACAATAACTGAGGTGTGGAACCAACCTAAATGTCCATCAATGGATGACTGGATAAAGAAAATATGGTATATACACACAATGGAATACTACTCAGCCATAAAAAAGAATGAAATTCTGCCATTTGCAGTAATATGGATGAGCTTGGAGAAAATTATTTTGAGAGAGAGAAACCGGTCACAGATAGAGAAATACCACACAGCCTCACTCATAAGTGGGAGCTAAGAAAGAAAGAAAGGAAGGAAGGAAGGAAGGAAGGAAGGAAGACCACAATAAAAAGTTGAACTTTCAGAAGGAGAGACAGATCTATAGTTACTAGAAGTGGGAAAGGGGGAGAATGAGGGAGATTAGGGAGTAATTGGGTAAAGGACACAAAAATAATTACCCTTTGTAATGATGAACATACTAATAATATTGACTTGATCATCACATACTGTACATAAATACTGATAGTCAACTTTGTATCCCATAAATATGTATAGTCAAAAATAAATAATTAATTTAAAAAACCAAAACACAGGCCCTGGGGCCAGGATGCTGAGTTTGAATCAATACCCTGCCACTTGCTAGCTTTCCCATGAAGCAATGAGCACCAGCCATTTTCAGGCTCTGTTGCACGTGCATGCCCTACCTCAACCCCGGGCATCCAGCATTCAGTTTGGCTTAGGTCCTCTTGGCTCTGATAGATGGTGCAAGGGCCAATTCCCAACTGCTGCTACCTGCTTCTGGAGCCAGAACCCAGCAGGCCTGTGGCTTCACCTGCAATCACTACTTTGCATTTCTGTACCACTTCTGGTCTATGGAGAGGTTTATTTTTGAGCCTAGAGATGTTTTTTAGTTTTCCCTTTTAATATTTTATTTATCATCACTATATGTCTGGAGCAGAAGGAGTACATCAAAGCATGAACTTTTTGTGTCACTATAGCCAGAAGTTGATAATACTTCTATGACCTTTCAAAATAAGCACAAATTTTAGAATCATCTAATCACAGATTTTTAGAGCTGGAAGGCATTTTAGAGATATTTAAGGCCAATAACCTTATTTTATAGGTGAGAGAATTGTGGTCTTAAGAAATTAAGTGATTTACTGATGTCACATATCTAGTTGATAATAATAGGGCTGGTCCAAAACCTGTGAGTCCCCTTAATAGTCCTTTTGCCACTGTATACACTTTCTCTGTAAGTTCATGGCTTTCTCTGTAAGTTCTATTTATATGTAGCACTTTATTTTTAACAGAGTTGAAAAAATAGACTAGAGTTTAAGTATTTAGAAAAATGAAGACACATTTTTAAACTGATATTAAATGTTTTCTCTTGGAAAATATTGAAGCAAAAAGTAAGAGAATAATATTTACTGCGTTGAGCTGAACACATTTTCATTCGAAGGCACAATGCCTTTGACTCTGTGGATTCTTGCTGCATTTGGTTTGCTTGATTTCTGAAACTTATTAGGACGAGCCCATTAATAATGGTGCCCATACTTTCAACCACCCATAGCACTGGGCTTGAAAAGAACTGTGATTAATGGATATGACCAGCATTTATAATGATAGCCTGTATTTCTGCTGTAATGTAAAAATGGTAGGTAGCTTAATTTATAAAACAACAACAACAAAACAAAACCCTCATACTAAAAATGAACAAGTATTTCTACTAATTAGGATTTCTGGACTTTTTTAGGATATAAATTTAGGATCTGGTTTCTTTGTTAAAGCCTTTGGAACTGTTTTATTCTATTTCTAGATCTTTTAGCTGTGCCTAAGCATCCGTATGCTGCTATGGAGAATTGGGGACTAAGTATTTTTGTGGAACAAAGAATACTGCTGGATCCCAGTGTTTCATCTATTTCTTATTTGCTGGATGTCACCATGGTCATTGTTCATGAGATATGTCACCAGGTATGAGAAAAAGGATCAGGTGTAAGTATAATGTGCAAACTATTGAGAATGTAGAATGATTTCAGATACCTAAGTTAGAAGCTAAATTATTATCCTCCCAATTAAGTTTTAACTTTATGTGGAGCTCTGTGTAGTTCTTTCAGGAAGATATGTTGTTTTTCTCAGACGTCGACACGTACAAAAACAAGCACACTGATCATATTAAATAAGCAACTGTCATTCAGTTTTGCTGAGTAGTGAGAAGGCATTGCTACCTAACGTCCTCTTTGGAGTCCCTCTCCAGTTGCTGTTCCCTATCAACCTGGCTTTATTTTCTTGTGATTATTAGTGTGTACATATGGTAAGTACAGTGATGGCAATGATTTATTGCATTGCTGCAAGATGCAGCTGAATTTTGTGTACGTGTCAAAATTTGCCTTTGCTGAAATCAATTTTTTACTCCCCTTTTCCCATCACATAGACACTTAGGAAGTCTTTCACTAACTCAGCCATAGACTCTTTGTTCTCAAATGATTGATATTTTTTGTCTTGGCATGTTTAGAAATTCATATGTAAATTAGCCAATTTTGTAGTGAAGCCAAGATAAAATTAATTTCATTTTGATTTTATGCACTTTCTGACAGCGAGTGGAAGGTATTAGAGAGATTTTGCAATGCTTATCTGAATCCTGACTTTAGTGAAAAAAAAATTACTAAAAATAGATGTTCATGGTAATAGAGAGCAATACCTGTCCTGGTTACCAAGAACTATGAACAGTTTTTGACTTGAAACACTAGAAATCTCACTGTGATACAATATGACTTCAATATATTATAAACCCCAAACCTTTTTAAAAGCTAGAAAATCTAAAGAAAGAGTGATATGGAAAATGCTGTTAGTGAAAGAAGGTGAACTGTGCAGTCCCAATAAATGAATACTGACTTAATGATAAATTGGTGCAGGCCATATGACCATTTACCGAAATGTCAGCCTTTTGCAGCGAACCTGTAAGATGTTTGTACCTGTCATGCTGGCTAGGTTGGGCATGTATTTCTTACCTCAGAGACTTTAAGGGAATCCATTGTGGAGATAACTGGGGCTTTTTTGTGCTAAAGAGAATGGTTTCCACCTAAGTTTACAACTCTTTGAGACAAAAGCAGTTTCTTTTTGAACATGCCTATAAATGACAAATTAGATGTGTAGTTCTGGTGAAGTAAAAGCACACTGATAGTGTTATAATTGCTCAGAGAACTGAATTTCATTTGTTTCATATTCTAAGTTATAGCTCAGTAGTGATAGGCCATTTACTATGAAGGACTGAACCAGAAGCTAGGAGAAATGTTTATAATAATTTCCACCGTCATTATCAAATTAATTCTATGTCACCCTCCCTCTCCACCTGTCTGTTGTCATAATTCTGAAGGCAATTTAAAGGAGAAATATGTATTTTTGATAAGGAATATAAAAATTTAATTATTTATTTTGTGGTCATGAGCATATGCAGAGCTATTTTTATTTGTATTTCAGTTATACATCCTCTTGAGGAAATGCTAATTTCTTACTGATATTGAAATGCTCAGTCACCAGGCTCATTACTGTGGCTCCTAAGAGCTGTACGTGATGTGGTACTTGTCTGCCTTTCTGGACTTCTTCATGCTTTTCTTCTGGTTTGCTGTGTTCCAGACATACAGGTTTTCCTACTGTTTCTTAATAGCTCATTCCTTCTTAGGGTCTTTACACTAAGTGTTACTTACATCTGCCTGGAACTCTCTTGCCCCAGGCTTTCTCATGTCTGGTTCCTTCTGATCTTTAAAGTCTAAGCTCAAATGTCACCTGCTCAGAGAGAATGATTTTGCTTTTATAGTCTAAAGCAGCCCCTCCCCCAATTCTATAACAGTTTATTAGGATCTGATTGTGTTGTTCATTTGCTTATTTATTTTTGTTTTCTATCTCATTCCCTCTGTCTCCAAAATAAAATGTCACCTGAGTGAGAAGAGACATTGTCTAACTTATCAGGGAATCCCATCTTTTGTATAGTTACTGGCATGTAATGTATTTTTCTTTTCATGAAAAAAGAATTACTCTAACGTTTTCCTAAACTCAGCAAGGGGTTTAGAATAATGCATCATGATCTAAATCAAAACACCAAATTAAAAATGACAACAAAATAGGGTCTTAGAGTTATTTTTTGGTCCTACTCTTCATATCATAGAATCATGGGGAGTTAGGGGTAGAGGACTTGAAAAACCCTTAGTCCCATCCATCAGCCAGTGTCTCCTGTGAATTGCCTCTGCCATTAGAGGGAGATGCTTCAATACTGCCATTCATGAGGTGCCTACTACCTCTCAAAGTAGTATTTTCCATCTTCAGCCATCTCAGTCTGTTAGAGGGTTTTCTGCATTTTCAGCAGACATTTATTAACCCTAATTTCCATTTATTAGTCCCGGTTTGTCCCTTTTAGGGTCACGAGAAACAAGCCTTTTCCACATCATAGGCCTTCAAATATTTGAAGACAGTTGTTTTCAGGGTTTTTTTTTTTTTTTTTTTTTTTCCTCCTGAGTTCTTTCCCTGCTAAGTTGAATATTCTCTTTGTGTTCCTTGATCATCTGTGTTTCGTTCCTCCCTAAATTCATGTATAAAAACTTAGTGTCGCCCAAGTAGTCAAATAAATCAATACTATCTTCCCACATACATTTTAAAATCACGAAAGAAATTGGGGAATGAATTTCAGTTGTGATCATTATAGTTTAATTCATTCAATTTTAGATAAAATAATTCTAAATAGATTTGATTTTATCTGATGCCCATTCATTTTGATACTGCAGTGGTTTGGTGACCTTGTGACTCCTGTGTGGTGGGAAGACGTGTGGCTGAAGGAAGGTTTTGCTCACTACTTTGAATTTGTTGGTACAGACTACCTCTATCCTGGCTGGAACATGGTAAGTGTACTCTTCTTTAATCCTTCGGAATTCCCAGTGAAAGGTTGATCTGATGTTACGTGAGAAATACTGACTGATGCATGAAAATAATCAACTGTCTGATAAAGAAAAAGTGACCCCAAATTTATTTATTTTTTATTTTTTATTATACATACATGTGGATTACAATGTTGATTTTCAATAATTGTGTAGAATGTGTGGTGGTTAGATCAGTATAGTTAGCTTAATCATCATTACAATATGCAATCATTCTTTGTGTCTGTTGACCAAATTTAAATGTTATAGGAACTAGAGTCTGATTTGTTACATTGACTTCAAAATGCTACAACTTACCTAATTGGAAATAAGAGGGTACTTGAAAAAGTTTCTTTGTATTTTCTTTTAATTCCATTTTTCCACAAACTTTTTGAAGTACCCTTGTTTTTTAGATTATAGCATTTTATAATGAAGACAAATTATCCTTTAAGACAGAGAAGTTAACAGCAATTTCAAATTGTGTGTGTCTGTGTGTATTTTTTTTGGCAGCTGGCTAGTACGGGGATCTGAACCCTCGACCTTGGTGTTGTAACACTAGTTCTAACCAACTGAGCTAACTTGCTCAAGTAATATTTTATGTGTATAGGATATTTCAATACATAGAAAAATGAGAATTTAACATCTCATCCAAGAGATGAAACACAAAATTTAGATAAAACATTTGATGTATTATTGGTGTAGATGTATGTATTTTAGGATTAAATGACTTAATAAGAAATCATTAACTCTATTTATGAAGTTATGCATATTATGCCTTGACTTTAGGGGCATACCTGTATCTCTGAACCTAAAATAGGGTTTGTAGTGCCTTAAGCTGTAATGTTATAAGGCATCCTAGAAGAAAAATTAGAGAGAGGGCATGGTTTTTAAATATATTTTTTGTATCAATTTTTCACTTAATAATTTCATTAATCAATAAGTGATCATATTATTAATACAAGCTAGGGTATATTTTGTTTTAAGTAGCATTATTAAATTAGGTAAAAATTGCAATGTACCAACATTTGTCAACTTCCAGAAATTCAAATTTTACTTGTGATATAGTATAGGCAATTATATATATTTTTAAACCACTTTTTAAAGTATGATTGACAGGGCCGACCCCGTGGCTCACTCGGGAGAGTGCAGTGCTGGGAGCGATGAGGCTGTGTGTTCGGATCCTATATAGGGATGGCCGGTGCGCTCACTGGCTGAGCACGGTGCGGGTGACACTAAGCCAAGGGTTACGATCCCCTTACCGGTCACACACACACACACACACACACACACATACACAAAATAAAAACAAATAAATAAAGTATGATTGACAGACAAAAAGCTGTACATATTTAATGTATACAACTTGATTAGTTTGTAGATAAGTATACATCCATGAAACCATCACCACAAATTATGCTATAAACATATCCATCACTTTAAAAAGTTTCCTTCTACCTTCTTTTATTATTATTATTATTATTATTATTATTATTATTATTATTATTATTAAATTTTGTGATAAGAACACTTAACATAAGATCTACTGTCTTAGCAAATTTTTAAGTATACAATATAGTATTGTCGACTATGCTGTACATTAGATCTCTAGGACTTTTGCATCTTGCATAACTGAAATTTTGTACACTTTGTCCTATACCTCATCTTTTCCTGCTGCCCCCAGCCTCTGGCAACCACCATTCTCCTCTCTGCTTCCATGATCTCCACTATGTTAGATTCCTCATATAAGTGGGATTATGTAGTATTTGTCCTTCTGTGTCATGCTTATTTCACTTAGCATAATGTCCTTCAGGTTCAACCACGTTTTCATGAATGACAGGATTTCCTTCTTTTTTAAGAGAATAATATTCATTGTATCTATATACCACATTTTCTTTGTTCATTCTTTCATCAGTGAATTGCTTTATGTTTCCATTTATTTTTAAATTGATCTTTTTTGATGTTATAAAGTATTAATAATAGGTGATTATCTAATTGTCTGTCATCATTCCAAGTATGATTTGAAGAGCATGTAAACCAATGTGAGATATGAAGGCATCTGTAAGTCATATAACTTCTCTATCATAAATTCAGCTGACTCTTGCTGAGTAAAAGAATGTGAACTTACTTATTCACAGAAGAAATGTTACAATGGTAATACCACATTGATGGTATGTTTTAATTATGTTCCTGCAGTTTTGCTCATATTTTTTAAAGGCAACATGGTTCATTTGCAGAAACGTGCAAGACACATTTATTAGATTTATCTAGGTATGTACGTATGAACAATGCAATTTTAAAAATATTACTTGAAGTGTTTTATTTTGGTATTGAAATTAATTAAAAATGCCTTTCAAGAATTCTGAAGAAAAATCACTAATACCATGCAATATTATCGAAGTGTTTTTTAACAAATGTGAAATTTTAAGACTTATATGTATGAGGTTACTGAAACATCTCAATAAGTATCTTTTGGTTATTATATGACTTTGAACCATCTTTGTTTAAAAATTTCATTTAATTTTCATTATGCTGTGGATTATTGCTGATTTATAATTTCATTATATTTCAATATTAAAAGATGTTTAAAAATGCCTTTCAAGAATTCTGAAGAAAAATCACTAATACCATGCAATATTATCGAAGTGTTTTTTAACAAATGTGAAATTTTAAGACTTATATGTATGAGGTTACTGAAACATCTCAATAAGTATCTTTTGGTTATTATATGACTTTGAACCATCTTTGTTTAAAAATTTCATTTAATTTTCATTATGCTGTGGATTATTGCTGATTTATAATTTCATTATATTTCAATATTAAAAGATTTCCTTATTACAAACTACGTATTATTCATATAGGTAAGGTTTTTTTTTTTTTTTTTTATAGCTCATTTAGCCACTTGTGATAAAATCCTTTCTATTCATCATTATGAAAAATACATCTCAAATTAAAAAGTAATCAACAGAATTATGCATAGGGTGAAAACTGACAGTTTTTGATGGTTTTAACATGATGATATATCCTCATTTTCAATGTTTTTATACTGGATTTTTGTGTTTGAATATTTTTTTTTATTTCTTCATCATTTCATCAGTTTCATTGTAAATGTAGGTCTTCTGGAGAAGATTTTGTAAGAGCTATTGAAAATGAACACAGAGTGTTCAATGGAATATAAACCATGCACTGGAAGTATAAAAACCTTGAGGTTATTAAGATATAAGATTTTATTTCTTCTAAATATATATATAATAATTAAGAAATGGAAACTAATGATGGCACAATTACAGTGACACAGAAGGCTCACTCTGTCAAACTAAGAAATGAAAGAATAAATTCCATCACAATTAATTAGACAATTAATAGTGAGGAGAAACAAGTCTTATTATGATGTCTCTATGTTCATATTGTAAATATTAAAAATACTTTCTGGTCTTTGATTGCTTTTTCTTTTTAGTAGCTTTCTTTATTTAGTTTGCAGAATACCCCAATATACTAAATTTACAAAACCTGTAAGAAACTCTATAAACAAATTGTCCTTCCCCGCATATATCATTAATATCTTCTTTGGAAACAAAATTTTAAGAATAAGTTAGCCATATAAATAAGAGAGCATATTAAGTGTCTTTAAGGCTATGCCAGCACTACTTTTCATAATGGCATCAGCAAAAGAGTGAAATACTCAGAAGAACAAAAGTAATGTCTATATTAGCAGTAACTCATACTATTGGGATATGCATTAAAGTTTGCCTAGGAGTGGGTGGCTTGGGCTTCACTAGAGCTGAGCCTAAAACAGAAGTCAGGCTCATGTTGGGAGTAAAGAAATTCAGAAAGTTGACCTCTTTTGCTTCTAATCTCAAAAATAGTGCTTTTATTGTTTTTAGACACCAGGGCTCAAGCACTCAAATACAATTTCAATTTGCTAGGGAGATTACTATGACAATCTATCTTCCAAGGAATAGAAATAAAGAAACCCAGAATTACATTGTATTGTTAAGGAAGCTCTTGTTCTGATTTCGGCCAATAAACTTATTTTGCTTAACTGTTAGTAAAATCTTAGATTTTGTGTGCTTGTGTGCATGCATGTGTTTTCAAAGCCAGTTTCTGATACAGAAGTAATCAGTTTTTACATTAGGAATACTATGTCTGGTAAAATTTTTTTGTGATCATTTTGTTTCTCAACAAACTAATCTTTACAGGTAGTATGATGTGAGGCCAGGGAAATAGATTGAAAATAAGAAATTCAGATTCCAAGAAAAGCATTTCACCTCTCTAACTCATCTTTATCATTTGAAAAATGGGACGATTGCACTGACTTAGTAAGCTCATAATTTTTGTGAAAATAAAATAATTTGTGAGGTCTTCGAAATGTATGAACCACTATACAAATGTGAGTAGGCATCACAGACCTGGAAAATGAATGCTCTGTTAGGAAAGTGCATTGATTTTATGTATAGATGCTCTAACACTTTCAATCCTAGTAATCCATTTTGACACCATAGATTTATATCAATTTTTTATAAATTACAAAATAATTTCTGTAAACTTTGTGTTTAGATTCAGTCTCACCAAATCAATTCTTATCTATATTGGCAATATGGGCTATTCTATAGAAACATAAGCCTTAGATAATGTTTCATTTATCAAGCACATGTCAAGATCATTAGAAGCAACTTCCTCAGCTTATGGCAAAGACACATTTCAAGGGGCAGGTAGTCTTTTTGCCTGATATTATTTTATCAGCGTTAGCTGTTAGTGACAACATTATTGGATGGATCAAGTTATAGTATGCTATTGATGACAGTCACATTAAATCTTATTATGTTTCCATGAAAGGGATAAAAAGAAAGATTAACACAACATAGTTCCTATTCTTCAACAACCCTTGGTCATTTTAATTTGAAGAAAGCCCATGAGAAAATAATTTTAATACTGGAAAAGAATGCATAGTAAAATGCTGCATGATGAACTCTTTAATTTATAGATCT